ATTTCTTGAGGGTCAACGCCTAGATGACATCAAAGACTGTATGAAATATATGCATTCGAAATTCATTCTCGTATTTGACCTATTAAATTCCGTTATTGACTAACACGATTTAAGTCAATGAAATATACGAAGATAGGCGACATATATATTTCGACAGCAATCATTCAATAACGAACACTCATATGACCTAATTGGAGTCAGACCCCAGGCCACTAAATGTCATTTAGATTATATATCGGAACTTTATAGAAGAAAAATCTGGAAACATGTGTCAACGTATGTCAATTCAGAATTGATGCTCAGTCCACTGTCTTTCCCAGGTCTATTCATAGATCCAATAATTTCGTACTCATAATAACGTTTATTATCTTGAAGAGAATAAACACAAAGATTTGAGCAGAATAACACGAATTCATTTTATTTCGTTAGGTCCTCATCAGCTGCTTACAACTTATAATATTTTAGCACTAAAATTATCATACAAGTTAACATACATATACAAGCGAAATTGATTAGAAGTGAATGAGCATCATCATGATGGAGTGAAGCTCCCAATAAAGTCCTCTGAGATTTTCTGAAACCTGATTTTTGTTTTTAAAAAATCAGGTGATAAATCTTTCTTTACATTCACTTTATTGCCTCACCATTTTTATAACACTTTCTCGTACCTTGACTACATCATTTTCAATTCTTTCAAACTTATAATTTTATTTCAAACTCAATTCATGTTATTCTCCTCTACCACTAACCTGTGTTTCGTTGCTAAATTGCATAATCAACTAGAATTTTCGCCTGTGATCTTTGGTTACAATTTTGATTTTCTAGAATTCTCTCTCTCACATTGTTTTTATCTTAAGTAATTTTTGTCTTATTAACTTTAGTGAGATACCCGCTTCATCATAACGATACTAACTCACTTTATAATCAAGTTCGCTTGTATAAGTATGTTAACTTGTATAACAATTATGAGTTATAAGTAACTGATAAAAACCTAACAAATGGAATTCGTGTTATTCTGGTTAAATCTTTGTGTTTGCTCCCTTCAAGATATAGTAATCATCTAGAACTAATAAAATTTGATCTTCAAATAACATTTACTTTATCATTTGTTCTCTATTCTTAAACTTACACTAATTAATAAACTCAATTAACCTTTTCAGAAATTAACGAACTCAAATAAATTTCATCTATTTTAAAAGCTGACCATCCTACAATAACAAAATTCAATCAATGGGCCTTAAGAATATAAATCGAAGAATAAAGAAGCGTATCTATTATCACTGTCATTGCAGGCATGGATACAATTGAACAAATGGTGATTAAGCTTTAACTTTACAATGTGATGTATCTAACTTATTGAAAATCTTCATCTGAGATTAATAACTTGATTTCGTTATTGGTAGATTTATATTCTTACTGAACTGAGTTACATATTTTACGAAGAATGTTCACAGAAACTGATTCATACATCTGTCACTTGTTGGTATATATTTAAGACAGAAACAACTAAATTGATAATCAGATTTTGATTTATTATTTACTTTGACAGACTAGAATAATTTTATTCCACACAGAGACTTTATAGTACAAAATGGACATTCTCGGGCCTTTATGAAAGAATTCGAATTAACCGAAACTAATCTTAAAACAAACCAAATTTAATCGTGGCTAAATGATAAGCTTTAAAAAATCACAACGAAACACATGATGTACCAGCTGTTTGTCGTATGAAAAAATAGTGTTCATTTTAGCAGAAGGGTATCAACAAAAATTCGACTTTTTTCATCTGGATCTATATTCACCGACCTACATGAACCTACCAGATGACGTACACTACAATGACAGGAAACGGGACGTTACTTAACTCCATATAACTAAAAAAACTATGAATCAGAAGACCATACAATGTCTACTGAAAGTGATCATTCAATCTTCAAATTTCAAACGTCTTTAAACTGTTTAAAAGAATAATTCAAGTTAAAACAAATTTGTAGCACTATGGATTTAAGAGCCGGTGATTTATTTTCAGTTGAAGTCTCTTTTGACTTGCACTATAAAATTTAACTAAGCGTGATTGACCGTATAACCCATTTTTGTAATACTGGAGGACCTGTAACTTACAATTTTCTAGGTGGCTGATTTTAACACATTTCATTCTCCGGTCTATCCAACTATTCCGTTTGATGATGACTTAGAACAAATTCATAGGATAAGAGGCTTACATCAATCTTCCTCTTCTAACATATTTATATGAAAATTATAAAATTTCCATTCACTAATGAATCGCTCCCTACCCACTTAGTTACCGAGATATGTCGAGGCATCTAATTATCACTACCTTTCACTTTTTTCCACCAGCAAACAGACAAGAATTCGAAGTACAATCAATCAATCTCAAGTGATGAATAGTTAGACCAGTGGTTCACATTAATCATATCATTTATATTTAGTTAAAAAGCACTGATTTCCTGGTAAGCATAGGAAGACTACTTATTTTAAAGACTGTGTAGACAGAAAACGATGTATTTATAGATTCAGACGACTGGAATGTTCGACAGAATGAAAGTCGAAAAATTCAGAGCGTCAAACAACCTGACTCAGTTTTGAACCTTCAGATTGCCAAAAAATTTACGGAGTCCAGAAAAATAAAATATATTATGAGCAAACAAACAAACCACTCAGACTTAAAAATGGTATCACGAATAAACAAGTACGGAATTAGTTTTCTTTTGAAAATCAGAGTAAACTGGCATTAAACGGGACGAAATAATAAGTAGCTAGGCCAATAAGTATGTAATCAATCCCAACAATCGAAATCCAGAAATGAAATTTTTTAACCAATCACTATCTAGATGATGAAATCCGGTAATCATTTTAATGAATTATGTTCAGTAGAAATAAATGATAGGAAATATAGACAAGAAATGAAGTGATTGTTTTCTCCTCGTCGATTTAAATAGTCTGTATAATTGATAATCCTTTATTCTTCTCAGAAACTATGACGGTCGAAATTAGTACCTGTGTTTTTAGCATTCTGACCAGCTGATCCTTTACTACATAAAATCGATAAAGATTTGTTAGGCACGCTACAAACTGGTAATCTGTACATAATTAGGAGATTACCAATTACTACATACAAGAAAGTTGCTAGTATTTGGTTTATTTAGATAACCATAATCAGAATAAATTTGCACGGTAGATTCGACTCGTCTCTATCAATAAGGTATACATACACCTTATTCAATTGAACTGAGTGATACACCGAATCTCGATCCGACAAACATTCCCAATTTTTAACAAAACCTTTCGATAATCGTAGCCCATAGAGTTTATGGAACAAAAAGATTGGTATGAAAATAACCCAACGGTGAAAATCAGGATGTAGGGCAAAACCACAAGACTACTAACTACTTACCAGTAGTAGAAGTAGCAACACTATCAGAAGTAATTCGAAAGATTAAGTGAGATTTCATGCTGCATGTTTTGAAGCAAGACAATAAGGTCAGTGCGTCTGAGCCACTGAGTACGATTTCGAGCTGTCAATCAGTCTACCCATTAATTACGATAACCACGCGGACTTCAACCACATATTTGATATCTATCAACATGACTCAGACCAACTGTAAATAACTTCACGGACTAATGATATATATAGGTTTTGGGGCTTCTAGCTTCCTCCTGGCCTACTCCTACACCAGACAGCCATCGCAAATCGAAGTTGGATATACAGCACCTCAGAACTCCTTACTCGATGATCCCAAAATAAACGGGTGATCGTCCAAAGACACCAGTGATCGAATGACAGTAACCCATGAATACACATTATCCCTAATGTCCACACATAGAATAGGACGGAGAAAACTGTTGCGCAACATAACGCAACAAATACTGAACTTCCTCCCAGTCAGTCAGTAACAACGTAGAACTTCGTACGTACGTACATCAGTTCGAGTTGCCATACCACATTAGCACAGAGATGCAGTTGTCAATTCAAACTCAGTAGTGGTAGAGGTAGTGAAAGTATAAGCAGTAATCGAAAAGATTAGGGTTTGGAGATGTTATTCAAGGAGTATAATCCAGTGAAATAAGTTTGGAAACAGAAAAGAGACAAGAACTCAGATTAGAATTTGGGAGAACACAAAGAGTAGATGGACCTGAGCCATCGCAAACGATTTTGAGCCATGACATTTAAAGTCACTAACCTTCCTCTAAGGTTACTGACGATCCCATGCACAGAGAGGGTTGGGACCAGGGTTAGCAACAGTACTTCGTTAAAACGAACCCCACTAAGAAAGCGTCAACCAAAGAAAACTGCACCCTGAAGGTTAAAGAATAGTTAGGGAGAGGACAAAAAAATATGGTTCAGGGAATTCGAGGGAAATCATGAACACCCTTCATAAAGGGGGAGGAGACTAGTACATAGTTGTCTGGAGGCCGCTGGTGAACGCTACATGCCCTAAGAGGTACCAGACTTCGGTAATGTGAATACCACCAGCAAATCCCAAAGTGAATGCCATCACTCCACTTGGTCTCAGCAAGTTGGTAGCAAAGAATGTAGTCTGAATCCGAGTACACAGATTACTAATTGGTTATGTAGTTACATTTTCGTCATCCTTAGTCTAATGAAACTACAATTGGAAAAATAATTTATAGTATCCTGTTTCAAAATATCACTTTAAAGAGGAAATCGATACATCATGAGAATTTGGAACTTGCATGAATCAACATCCAAAAACGCCTTAACAAACCGGCTGACTCTATGTACTTTTCGGAAGCAAAAATGATAAGGGATAAATAGCAGTTTCACTAAACCAGTTTTTTGGAGTAGTAACAGATATACAAAGGCTTGGAACTTCACACTCCAGTCGAAATGCTAAACCGGTCGCAATTTGGACAATTTAAATCGCGAACTTAGGAAATGTTTTAGTTTATTCGACCAATTTTAAAATTCCAACAGGGAGATTCAGAAGGTACTCATTAAAATTATCCAGAATAATTGGTGATGAACCGAAATAAATTTTATTGATGACATTTCAAAATATGTACACAATTTTAATACTGCAAGTGACGAGTCCTAAAGGAGCTAATAATTAAAAAGATACAATCAAATAACCGTTATTGTCACCAGAACAAATGTTAATTGATTTTCGATAAAGCACACTCGACTCTGAGAATTAAAAGGTTGAAGCAAATACATTTGTGACGAAGGAATCCTGAAAACGAACCGTTGATTATTGTTTTTCTTGTTTGGCTGATTCCTCATTTTGAGAGTCAGTCTTTGTTCCCTGCTCACCTGCCATCTATTTTACATAATCAAATTATTAACTTATAACAAACTAACCTTTCTATAGGCAACTTCGAACAACTTCAGCGATGCTTGCTGAAGTTCATTAGTAGCTTCTCTAATGCTTTCAGCAGTTTCATTATCTTTGTTACTCAACCGACTTTTCAACTTTTCGATAAGTACACTCAGTTTCTCCCTCTGAAATTCAAAAAAATGCATTACTTAGACACACTAAATTGGCAAAATATGACTACTGCTACTGTATATAAAAACGACCTGTAATACAGGATATTCTCTCTAGACATAAACACTAATTCAGTGGACTTGGAGATTTAACTACATGTCAGGTCTGAACAAACTTTTATGTTTAAATATCAAAGTCAACCGACTATATACTACCTTCTACTCATGAAATCTACCTATTTTATATTCCATATTTAAACAAAGATCACAGAAGTATTCCCAAGAGCTGGATTCAAGACTACTTTTGTACGCTGTAAAAACATGACAACGGCTGTGTACTATACCAAATTGCCAAACTAGCATCTAAGCAAAAGGAAAAATAAGGGGACGGAAATAATACTGAGTAATTGATTAAACCCTGGTATAAATCATTTTATATGCTTCATTAATTTAGGTTGACAGGCAACTGTGTCATGCTCTGTTTTGACTCACGTGTGTGACTTGAAACTGTTTGGGTAGCCCCAAATGCCCTGGTTCGGCCGAAGATGGCGAGTCAGCTCTCCCTCTCGAAATGCTCTCACATGACCACGCGTATACAACCTCTCTCAGGGAAGTCCTACTCACTGTCTTCTCGTAGCGGGGGTGTTGTTCACGAAATTCAGAGGACGAAAAGCGAATGTCCGGCGCTTTAACCGGGTTAATGGACACAGAGAGTTCACCTAGGAGTTGGAAAACCCTGATTTCAAACCAATGGTGCACATGGGCTCCAGTATCCTGAAGGAACAAACGGCGTATGAACCAAGCGTTGGCCACCGGCTACCATGGTACTGCACCTCTCAAAGTTGCTTCACTGTCTCGTGTATTAGATCTTTACAACGAAGGTTTCGGGTGACCCCCTGAGAAAACCACCTGCTTCGGTCTGGGCAGCCGAGTAGTATCACAGCCCACACACAAATCAAGCGGCTTGTGTGGTGCATATGTATTCGGTACACTTTTGTACCGACATTTATGTGTTCAAATAATATGTAAATGAGCTAAGTTGGTAGGTGAAACTCGAAAAAATAAGTTCACGCTTTTACACAGAAAAAATAACTTTTATTAACTGTTACTGCCTTCATCCTAACCTGACATGAGTATTGGTATTACACCTACTTCGTTTATATTGAATGTTTATAACATAGATGAGCGAGTTATTGCTAGTCAGGACAGTGGACACTTTAAGCCTCGAATAAATATCAGCTGAACAGGTTAAAAAATTTCATTCCAAAGAACTTCACCACATTGAATTCTTCGACTTGGATGGTTAGATTGTACAGAATTTAGTGTCGTTTTTGGTCAATTAGCTACAACGTAGGACCAAGCACATATACGCATCGGTCCAAAGTGACGTCGTTTTGGACTACTTCATTTATTGTAACGTGTAACTAAATTCATAAGAATGGCAACACAATAAGGACCAGATGAGATGCCAGAGCCAAAACAAAGACTTAGAATGAATTTTACATTTTTAGCCTTTTTGTCTGATGTTCCAAGAAAAACGAGGAAGTAGTGATGATCATCTACAGCTATTCGCAATCTAGAGAGACATGAGTTGTTTTAAAAATAAATAGATACTTCTGACTACATGACATATATATCCACCTAAACTATTTTTAACGACTTTATTTCATCCTACGTGGAATCTGGGAAATACGTATTTTAGTGTACGCGAATTTATTGTTATAGGTTACAATTGAAGGTGGTGAATTAACGTACCTCATCTGAAGGCAACTGATCTTTGTATTCATTGATTTTTGATTCTGTATCATGAACAATACCTTCTGCTTGGTTTACTGACTCCACGAGGTCTCTACGCTTTTTGTCAACTTCTGCATATTGTTCAGCATTGCGCACCATATTCTCAATCTCATCCTTGCTTAAACCTCCACCGGAACGTATGACAATCTGTTGTTCTTTACCAGTGCCTTTGTCACGTGCAGCTACATTGACAATTCCGTTGGCATCGATATCAAATGTGACCTCAATCTGAGGAACACCACGTGGGGCAGGAGGTATTCCCACCTATTAAAAACAATAAACGAAGTAATATCATACGAAAAACGTGATTATATAGAAAAAAGCACAATAACAGCAAGTTATTAAGAACTCACCAGGGAGAACTGTCCCAGTAATTTATTGTCATTTGCCATTTCACGCTCACCCTGATATACTTTGATTTCAACCTGTGTCTGGCCATCGGCAGCCGTAGAAAACACTTGAGATTTTTTTGTGGGAATAGTTGTGTTTCGATTTATAAGCTTAGTCATAACACCGCCTAGAGTTTCTATTCCAAGTGACAAAGGAGTAACGTCGAGCAGTAGCACATCTGTGACATCACCAGCAAGAACTCCCCCTTGGATTGCTGCACCCATAGCTACAGCCTCGTCTGGATTAACACTTTTACTAGGTGTCTTTCCAAATATCTTCTCAACTGTCTCTTGAACCTAATGATAACTTAGTTTTTGTAATGTGTACATCTCACCTTGGGCATTCGGGTCATACCACCGACTAGTATAATTTCACTGATATCTGAAGCTTTTACTTCGGCATCCTTCAAGGCTTTGTTACATGGTTCGATTGTACGTTTGATTAGAGGCTCCACCAGATGTTCTAATTTTGCTCTAGTTAATTTGAAATGCATATGTTTGGGGCCTGCTTTGTCCATAGTTAAATAAGGTAGGTTAATATCGGTTTGCAAGGAAGATGATAATTCAATTTTAGCTTTTTCTGCAGCTTCTTTGACACGCTGGAGCGCCATTGGATCTTTAGTGACGTCGATACCTTGCTAAAAAACTAGTTTAAGAAGACCACTATTACCTCTCGTTGAAATTCCTTAATCAGAAAGCGTAGCAATTCATTGTCAAAATCTTCACCTCCTAAAAATGTGTCGCCATTGGTGGATTTTACTTCGAACACCCCCTTTTGAATTTCTAATACTGATATATCGAATGTACCACCCCCAAGATCATAAACCGCTATCCTAAGCAAAACATAAGTATAGTAGTGAAATTACGTTTTGTCATCTGTTCGATCCAGACCATAAGCCAAAGCCGCAGCAGTAGGTTCGTTTATGACACGCAAGACTTCCATGCCCGCGATTTTCCCAGCATCCTTTGTTGCCTAGATATACTTTCAGATGGAAAAAAAGACATATACCTGTCGTTGTGAATCGTTAAAATAAGCAGGGACAGTGATCACCACATTTTTCACCTTCGACCCCAGATAACTTTCTGAAAAGCTGCTTGATGATATGCACTAAGAAACGAACCTGCAGTTTCTTTCATTTTGATTAACACAAATGCACCTATTTGGCTGGGTGAATAGGCTTTTCCATGAGCTTCAAGCCAGGCATCTCCATTGGAAGCCTTAATGATTTTGAACGCAGAGTTCTTCATGTCCTTTTGTACTTCTGGGTCGTCATAGCGCCTCCCTATAAGACGTTTGGTTGCAGAAAACGTGTTTGCTGAGTTAGTAACAGCTTGTCTTTTGGCAGGCGCACCCACAAGTCTCTCTCCGTCACTTGTAAATGCCACTACTGATGGAGTAGTGCGACAGCCTTCTGAATTTTCCAAAACTTTAGGCTGCTTTCCCTCCATAACTGCAACACATGAGTTTGTTGTTCCAAGATCTATGCCAACAACATGTCCCTTAGGACTAGATGAGTAGAAAGAGCACAATGGCTTCAAATTTAAAAACTAAACAGGGACTTTCAGAAACCAGGACCGAATTACCTTATTAAACATTTGTCTTGACAACAAATACCGAGACATCTCCAAGAAGTCAATAAGTCGTGTGATCTAGAAGAAGCGCGAAGCGTGACTAAATAACGAAGTAAAACAATGGTGAAGATCGTTGTATAAATTTGTCATATACGATTAAAAGTATTGACTTACATCCATATGAGCTATCGAAAGTGGTTACTCTATGTATCAAACCTTTTTACAATAAAATAACTGATTGGTCAATGAAGTGATCATGCCAGCACAAGGTGGGTAGCAGGCCATGACCTATCAAATGTATCATTGAATCTCTTCGCTTCTGGCATCTGATTGCACTGGGTTAGCACATTTTGATTATAGAATTTGTTACTGGTTGACGTGTTGTCAAACTCCAAATGATTGTAGTATCTTCAGTGGCGAGCCCGATGTGATCTGATACATCTATTTGTAAACTGAGTCTGTTTCTTTCTGGAACTTTATATATCATTTCTTTGTTTAATTTTTATTTGTGATATCTTTTCGTTTTTTCGTATATTTTTCTGTCCGTCGTCCAGTCCTATATTTTGTATTCGTCATGACTAAAGACTCATAGGTTACTTAAGGTCAGACTCTTCCGCCACTCTCATTTCAACTAATGCCATTTTGGCCCGATAACATCGAAGCCCGGTTTTGCCACGCGGAGGCTGGTTACCGCAAGCACGGCGTGACGGCTCCACGTGCAAAGTACCTTAAAGTAGTGAGGGCACTACCGTGAGGTTTCAACAGGTATGTCACACCTAGTATGTTTACTAGTGATGTCTCGGAACCTTATGAAATTCCAAAAAGGTTTATTCTTAAACGCGTGGATCGAACCTGTCGACAGAGTTTAGATCAACTCTTCAGTGACATCGATCTAGAATATAGCTAAGCAACGAACATGTTATTACGGGTAACAGAGGTCGTTGATCAAGGGACTTTCGACAATCGCGTGTTTAGATAACTTTTCTTGTCTAAGCTTCCCAAACAGTGCTTGTCTTGTTTCAAAACAACATCGTAGGCGAACTAGTCGTACCTGCCAGCCGAATTCTAGAGATCACCAAAATTTCTGACGTCGATGCCTATTCAGTCAAAAAAATCTTCAAACGACACAAAAAGACGTTACAGAACTCTGCCATACTCAGACATGTTACCTTAGTGTTCGTCACGGCCGTAGATTCCCAACCCCCGTAGTTATTCACGTAAACGATCTGTCTTTAGATTACGAGAGATAGATAACCCTCTTTAGTGCTGGTATCATAATCAACACATAAAGTCTCGAAATTGCAGAAAACCTTTCAATTTGCCCAACTCAAAATCTACCGACGCGAAAAACAATTCGGGAAACTTCCAAACCGGCACGCGTTAACGGCAGCAGTAACCGGCGAACATAGCTGTCTGTTATATATCACTGATATGATTACAAAAGTTCGCTGCCTCGTCGAAAGTGGCACAGCACTTAGTGTTCTTCCTGTGAATTCTAACGATCGACAGCACAAACCGGTTTTTAACTTACAGGCGGCAAACGGAAAACCGATCACCACATATGGTAAGTGGTACTTTTATCTTAACATGGGTTTATATAAGCGCATCCACTGGATCTTTGTTGTCACAGATGTTTATATGCCAATAATTGGTATAAACGTGATAAAACATCATAATGTACTCGGTGACGCGTGAAAACGGAGGTTAGTGGACGGAAAGGCTAATAAACCTGTTTGCGTAACTTCTTCATCCGGTTGTAGATTATCCCCAGTCACAGTAAGGCAGACGATCGATCCATACCACCAAGGAATACTCGATCAGCACCCTGAGATATATCAAACGCGGCCGAAATTGACATGTGTGATCAGCAGTGTTATAAATCACATCACGACTACAGAACCACCTGTAGTTTCGAAAGCCCGCCGACCAGCTCCCGAAAAGCTGAGGTTGGCTAAAAGCGCATTCGGCCATATGATGGACGTAAGAATCATTTGGCCATCAAACAGCCCATGGGCATCTCCCTTGCACATGGTCCCTAAAAACGACAGCAATGATTGGCGTCCAACTGGTGACCATCGGCGATTGAATGCGGAAACCAGTCCTGATCGTTTTGACAGCTACCTCGAAAGGCATTACTGTTTTTCTCGAAAATCGGTTTGATTGAAGCATGTCACCAAATTCCAATGGCTGCTGATGACACTTGAAACCTCTACCATCACTCCTATAGGTCTCTGTGAGTTTTGCACATGATTTTCCGCTTCAGAAATACTGAATACAATTTCAAAACGATTATCGATGACGTTTTTCAAAGTCTCAACTTCGTACATGCATATGTTGATGACTGCTTGATTACAAGTCTGGGTTGACAGCCTCATCTCCAGCATTTGGACATTGGCTTCGAACGACTACAAATGCATGGCATTACTGTAAACATTCATAAATGCCAAATCAGCACCAGCTCCCTAAATTTTCTCGGACCCACTATTTATGCTCAAAGCATCCGACCTCTGAAAAGCAAAGTAACGGCCAGTCTGGATTATCCAGAACAGACCACAATCAAGAAACTGCGCACGTGTAACGGTCCAGTAAGTTTCTATGGACGGTTCATACCAAATTGCACGTCCCCTAAGGAATCTTTAACCGAACAACTTTGTGGAAATGCGAAATCCATCAACTGGGACGACAATGCGACAGAAGCATTCACCGAAGTTACGGAATCGGTCGCCAAAGCAACATCGCTCGCACATCGGGACACCGAAGCACCCATCAGCATCGCAGTGGAAGCATCCGATAGTGGGTTCACCACAACTGGCAACCTTTGGCATTCTTCTCAAGACAGTTGTCAGGCACCCAATCGAAGTATAGCACTTTCGGTAGGGAGCTACGAGCCATTTATTGCTCTTTGCGGCACTATTAACACTCCGTTGAAGGCCGAGAATTCACTCTTTTCACCGACCATAAACCTCCTACTTTCGCTTTAAGCTCATCTTCAGACAAGTACTCTCCTCGAGAGTCGCAACAAGATGGCTATATTTCGCAGTTTGTTTTAAATATATAACATATCTGGAGCAAATACTGTCCCGTACAACTTCTTTGAACACTTTCTAGGGAATCGACTTTCTTAAACTCATCCAGCTTCTAAACACAAGACACTGATCTTCAGCATGAGTTGTCTTCGACAACCCTGAAACAGTGTATCAGACAGGTAGAAACAGGTAAGGAAACTTTAATATATGACACATCCACAGGTGGAGGTAGTCCAATCATGCCGAAGCATTATCGACGCAACGTCATTACGTTGCACAATCTTCCTCCTCCAGGTGTTCGTGCAACAATCAAGCTCACAGCAGGATGATTTTGTTGGCATGTATGAATAACGACGTAAAATAATGGGCATGTTCCTATGTAAGCTGCCAGAAGTCTAGGGTGGTTGGATACAACAAAGATTCATTAGGTTCATCCAAAACTCCTGACGCTCGTTTCAACCAGGTTCAAATGAATTCGGTAGAACATTTGCCAGATCCAAGTGGATAATCTTATCTCTTAAATTGTGAAGAACGTTTAGCTCGATGGCCAGAAGCAGAACCCATCAGGGACATTACTGCCGAAACGTTGGCGCATGCCTTCGTCGAACGGTGAGCAGCCAACATAGACTGCACTTTAAATATCACTGCAGACCATGGACGTCAGTTCGAATGTGGACTTTTCCATTACCTAACTATAACGTGAATGGAGTTTGACCATTCGTCAACCAGTAACAAATTCTATAAGCGAAATGTGCCAACCCAGTGCAATCAGAAGTCATAAGCGAAGAGGTTCACTGATATATTTGATAGGTTGTCAGTATATCAAGAAGTGATCTATCTGAACTGACTAGAGGTTGTAAAAGTTAAGCATAGAGTACTCACTCGTGATCTGGTGAGGATGCGTAACCAAGGCGATTGAGCTGCTGAACATAGCTAGAAAATTGCCCTCAGAAAAACAGGCAGCATTAAATGAACAGAATTACACTTTCAGGGCAATTAGGAGCGTTATCATAAGCCCAGCTCTAGATTTAAATGAGACCATAAAGGTTGACCCCATCAGGTAATCAAATAAGCATAGAGAGGTAGTCATTGTCACAGAGAAAAGGAAACTATTTATAGACAACACTGAGGCATATGAATCTGTAACAGCTTAGGTTGGTTGGTTAAGAGTTGAACCCAAACAACCAAGCATATGCCAAAACAGTATTGTTCAAGTATTCATTCACTTCCTTGTTTTGTATAAGCGTTATATTCCCTACTATCTTATATTGAATGTTGAGAGCCTTTGTTTGTCTGAACAGATAATCCCACGCTCCACTGTGACTACGCGAAGATCGAAATAAAGACCTATTCACTACTTCTCTGGTTTCTTCTATCAATAGCACGAGGGTTACTTTAAGGCACGAAATTGGTGAGCCCGTTTTGAACACAAATTTAACCTCATTTCTGTTATTAACATTTTTTTTACTTAATCGTAAAAGTAGACCTGATTATCCGTAAACTAATTTGAGTATATAACTAGTTTATTCCGTATTATCTTAAGTTATTCGTGTTATAGTAACCACTTTTTGTGCTAACTTTATTGCTATATTTGTCACATACCTCATGTCAGACTCAATAGAAACCCATAATCTGGAAGATTTGTCACCAGTGGAGATAGACACTGTTATGACTACGAAATCCCGACTTCCAGAATTTGATCGTAGTGATCCTAAGTTGTGGTTTGCTCAACTAGAGCATTATTTCACGAGACACAATATCAAATCTGAAGGGATTCGCTATAGAGACTTGTGTTCTATCCTTCCTCCTTCAGTCGCCCAAGAAATCCGTGACTTGATTTTGGATCCACCATCACCACAACCATACACCATCTTAAGACGAGAGATAATGAACCGTTTATCATTATCAGATAGTCAAAGAATCCAAAGACTTTTTCAAGGTGAAACACTAGGTGATCGGTCGCCGTCACAGTTTTTACGTCACCTCCAAGTCTTAGTGGGTGATAACACAGTGGGTGAAGTAGTCCTAAAACAAGGATGGATACAAGCTCTCCCATGCTACGTCCAACACTATTTG